AATTTCCCTCTTTGGTCGATAAGTCATTTAAATGTTTTCTGTTTAATTTCCAAATATTTGGGAGATTTTCCAGATATCTGTTAGATATTTGAGGAGAAGTCACAGATCTCTTTCAAATCTGTTGGAGTGTTTTCTCATAAAAAAAATTCATATATAACATTTTATAACTTCCTGGGGCTCACAGACCTCCTGAAACTCATTCATATTGTTAGATTAAATTCCTACCCTAAGACATAAAGGAGAAAGACAAAGAATATTTTCCTGATTCTCATCACAAAGAGAAGCTTTCCATGTCACCATTTTTGTTTTTAGATATGGCTCAGCAAATACTCTAAACAGGCACAACTTCATACTAGTGAGTTGAATAAAAGTTAGGTGCCCAAAAGTGTGCTACGTGACTTATATAGTAAAGGATAATAAAAAACAATCGATAGCTTCTAAGATGCAAGTGAGCCTTTTTATGCTCGAATGGACTGAATTTTAGTTTATGCCCTGATTTTTAAAAAGACGTTTGTCTGTCTTCTTTCTCTCTTCCTCTATGTCCCTGCTGTCTAGGGGGTTTATAGTCGCCCCTTTAAATCATGTCTCCCTCCCCACATTTCCTACCATGGCTCTCTAATTTGGAGTCCTCGTGTTACAGTGGGATACCCATTCCTGAGCATGTTTTGGCAAGGCAATCTCACCTCATGTAATACAGCTTGATACCTACAGCAGTCCTGAGCTGCAAATGCAAGTTTTCTTTAGATCTTATTTATGAGTCTGGTTATAGCTTTACTGCTGTGCTTGTATATGTAGGAGAGGGGAGGTGCTCTGAGTGAACAGCAGCCTAACTTAGACTAAATGCTGACAACTTTCTTTCCCAAAAATATACTTCCAAATAGCATAAATTTGCAGTATACCTAAGGAATCAAATTGTTTTCCACACTTTGGAACAGACCAGGATTAGAAGCTCTATTTGACCACTAATATGCTCGAAAATATACGAAACGTCTATAGTGTTAAAACTTCCAATTCCAGTAAAAAAAAAAATTGACTTAGTAATTCAGACTAATCCTCTCAATGAGAACTCCCGGAAAAAATGAATAACATAGTTTTAAAATCTTCTTGATGGTACTGAAGCACTAACACAGCAATAAAAAATTATGGGCCAAATCCACTTGCCAATTTCTTTTCAAGTTTCTAATACTTGTATTTCCTGGGGTGCATGTGGAGAATACCATCTGCTCAAAGACTAAAGAAAGTCCATATCCTGGATTAAAAGAAAAAATAAATAAAATATATATTTTAAACAAGAAAAATAAGGAAAAAAAGAGTGAAAACATTTATCTGAATATTATATGCCTGTGCTAATAAAAACAGGATAAGGACACTAAAGATTAGAGAATGGGGTTGTTGTCATAGCTGAACCTCATTTAATAAACAAAGTCATACACAAAAAGGCTTATGATTTTTTACAGTAATATTAACATTAAGATCAAGTAAATTATCCATAGCAATGAATTTCTTTCTTCTTTGGCTATGAAGTTGATAGTCAGATGGCATAAAAATTTAACAAATACATGCTGCTAGGACTCAAGCAGGGGGATTACGCCTTTGGAATGAGAAGAAAAATCTTTTGAGCGTGTGCCTGTAATCCCAGCTACTTGGGAAGCTAAGGCAGGAGGAAGACTGCTTGAGCCCAGGAATTGGGTGGTATAGTATGTGAATGGTGTGAATAGCCACTGTATTCCAGCGTGGGCAACAGAGCAAGACCCCTGTCTCTTAACAAAAAGAAGAAGAAGAAAGAAAGAAAAGTTCATGAGCTCTCCTTTTTTGTTGCTGCCATGTTCTCAATTTGGCTTTGTAATAGATGGCATAAAAAGTTCCAATCCTTCACCTACTTATGCCTCTATCTTCTTTGCTGTATAATTTTGCACTGTGTGCTGTATAATTTATACATGTTGCTAAGCCAAATATATACAGAGATACTTTCTTTCCTGTACCTCTGCCTTCACTGTGAGCTCACCCCAGGGTAGCCTGTTGCAGCTTTAGAGACCTGCAGAACAGAGCAAGATTTTAACTGTAGTGAAGGCCAGCCTAAATCAGCAGCTAGCCAGTCCTGTGAGCAAACACAGATAAGCTCAGCAAAGCCACCTGGCTAGCACCTCATGTGACCTGAGAAGCATGAGCAATAAATGCTTATTATATGCCGCTGGGGGTTTGTGGTTGTCTGTTACACAGCATTCTTGTGGCAACAGATAAGTGATACAGTCTTTGACCTACTTTAATTGACAACTTGGAATTTACTGTCTCCTGAAAATATTTCCTAATGAGAATAACCATTATTTGCCTTCAGGGTCTTCAGTAGAGCCTTCTGACACTTAGATAAGGCTAACAGTGGTAGATGACTACTGACCTAGCACAGACTCCAGAAAATCAAGCTCTTACAAGTCCAGGGAGCAAGTAAAATGGCTATCTGAAAGAAAGGATGAAATTGGCCCTAAAATAGTACATCATCAGAAGAGAGGTAGGAAAGAGTGGAAGGATCAAGAGAGTAGGTAACTCAAAGGTATTAATATGTTTGTATTAAACTAATGTGTCTCTAATTTTATCACTTAAATATAACACATGTAGGCTTTCTTCCACCACAGGAATGTCAAGTCTCCAACTTACTTATAAAATTATACCAAGAATAAAGTATATATTTACAAAGGCTTAAAATAAAACCCTAGTGTCCAGAACTATTGACCTTATACATAGCTATTAACCAGCATTGAAGTTGAAATCTCCCTTAAATGTCACTCCTATTACTATGTCAAATGGTCTGCAACCTAATTAAATGCCAATCTACTTTCTCACAGTTCATAACATTTGACATTTACACTACAATTGTAGCTACCATTCCCTGAAACCATCAGATAATATTTATTGTTGGAAAATGTCCTTCACTTTTTAAAAGAAGTATTTTTATATTTGCCTATAATTTTAATATCACAAAAATTACAACACTATAAATTATATAGGTGCCACAATTGCTTCCTTTTATATTGATATTTTAATTTCCTTTTAACACATAGAAGAAAGGGAAATATTTATTCAAACTTTCAATTGTTAAGGTTTAGTTACATTTTCTTTTAAAGGTCACATTTTGGACTATACAAACACACCAACACAACACCCTTAAATAATTTGTTCAGTTCAATCATAAAATATTATATGATATGTATACCTACAGGTGTGTATTTGCAATCCAAAATTCTACTTACTAAATTAATTACAGTTTCACAATTGCTATCAAGACAAAGGAATACAAATTTTTAAATAAAGAAAATCTAGCAAACACTAACTATCTTTATAAGAGCATCTGAGAAGCTGATATTTACATGACACACACTAAATTATATATTTGAGGCCACAATGTTAAATTCCTGTTATCTCAGAATCAAATTACTAAATCATCTGACAGTGTATTAAGAGCATAGAAGTTAGGTGGCACCCGTAGCTCAGTGGATAGGGTGCCGGCCACATACACCCAGGCTGGCACATTTAAACCCAGCTCAGGCCAGCTAAACGACCACAACTGCAACAGAAATATAGCCAGGTTTTGTGGTGGGTGCCTGTAATCCCAGCTACTTGGGAGGCTGAAGCAAAAGAACTGCTTAAGCCCAAGAATTTGAGGTTGCTGTGAGCTATGACGCCATACCGAGGGCGATATAGTGAGACTGTCTCAAAAAAAAAAAAAAAAAAAAAAGAGCATAGAAGTTAAATAAACTATGATACAAAGAGAATACATTATGCATGTATAAAAATAGTATAGATCTTTATGTGATATTTTAAAGTGAATAAGCAAATCACAAAACAATAGGTATAGCACAGTTTCATAAATAAAATTTCTTAGATTAAAAAAAGATGTTATGTTTGTTAGAAATATAAGAATTTTAAAGCTTGGTCTCACAAAAGGGATCTTTAATTTTTTGGTTTCTCTGTACCACATTAGAAGAAGAGTTTGTCTTGGGCCACACATTAAATACACAGACACTAACAAACTGATGAGAAAAAAAAAAAAAGTTCTGTGCATCATTTTCACAATATCTGTCACCACAGATAAGGAAAAAAAGTCCTCAGATGATCCTCATGCAGCCCGCAGGCCACAGGCTGAACACCCCAACAGAGTCTGGCATTCTGCTTTTAGCAGTCTATATTGGTTATGCTATTACCCTAAATGTAGAAAACTGCAATTTCTACATTTTACAGTGGTGGACAGCAAAACTTCCATTTCATAGGGATTGTTGTAAAATAAATGAGATAATACATGTAAATGACTTGGCACAATCCCCAATTCACTGTAAATGCTTCATAGATAAGATTTTTATAGCTATAACCCAGCCTCAAAAAACGAATCTGGAGTGAGTGGTCACATGAGAAGGGAAATACGAAAATTACATTTTTACAATTTATGTAAATTATTAAAATTTTACATATTTAGAAATATATAATTAGCCCATAAATTGGTACATGCACTAAAAAATAACTTTATAAAATCTTTCTGCCTGTGAATCTGTAAGAATAATGGGTAGGAGGGCCATTTTTTTATTAACAGAAAATTTTTTTTCTGTTTTAAATTCATCAGAAATTTATAAACTCTTACTGTAGTAAAAATGGAAATAAATTAATAACCTATATTTATGGTTAGTCAAGTATT